CTCCATCTCCTGGATCACAGGTCAATCCATGCTCCACCACTGAGCCACACCCGACCAGGTGAAACAGCTGCTATTTCTCACCTACTTTTTTAAACACTGACATCCGTTTCTTTCAACATTTCTATTGTGAGGAGCAAATTCTTCTAACTGAAATGAAATATCCCCTTTAAGGTTTGAGAATTTTTAAAGCATGATTTTCAATTATTTCTCCAAAATCCTTTATTATCTCTACAATAGCAAATAAAATTAGGTTATATACCTTTACCAGTGACAGGTATTGCACTCTAATTCTGTAGCATACAGGAGGATGGACCTAGTCTCTCCTGAAATTCTTTCTGAGCCTTTGGGAAGGTGTAACACTGTCTTTAGTTTGCTGGGGCATCATTTAACTTAGCAGAGCAGTCCATGTGGGAGCAGCAACTGGTAGATTTTGTTGACAGACTGCATCAAATTAATTTAAAAATATTTGGGGCTATATATGGTGAATTTGTATGTGCTAACCAGTATAATTTCAAAATTTTATTATTGAAGTAACTTTATGATTTCAACAAATATCTGCTTACATGGATATACACACATTGTGTGATTGGTGGTATAAAGAGAAACAAAATAATTTTTTTAAATCATTGCTATTGTTTCAAAAGCACTTATCATCTACTTGAGGAGCTTTCCTGCAATCCATTTAATCAAAGTTTAAAAACATAATAAAATAAGAAGTCTTATAAAGAAAACGTGGTTTGGATATTAACCTCTTATCAGATGTATCATTGGTGAATATATTCTCCCATTCAATGGTTTGTCTTTTTATTTTGTTGATGTTTTCCTTTGCTGGGCAAAAACTCTTTAGTTTGATGTAGTCCTATTTTTTCTTTTGTTTCCCTTGCCCTAGGAGATATAATCCAAAATTTATAAAGAACTTATAAAACTCAACACCAAAAAAAACCAATCCAATTAAAAAATGGGCAAAAGACCTGAATAGACATTTTTTCAAAGAAGACATACAGATGACCAATAGACATATGAAAGGATGCTCAATGTCATTAATCATCAGAGAAATGAAAATTAAAATCACAATGAGATATTAACTCACACCTATCAGAATGGCTACTATCAACAAATCAACAAGCCAGTGTTGCCCGGCTGGGCGTGGCTCAGCGGTTGAGCATCGACCTAGGATCCAGGCGATCGGAGTTCGATTCCCGGTCGGGGCACATGCCCGGGTTGCGGGCTGCAGCTGATCAATGACTCTCTCATCATTGATGTTTCTATCTCTCTCTCCCTCTCCTTCCCTCTCTCTGAAATCAATAAAGATATGCTGAAAAAAAAAGAAAAAAAAATGTTTCAAAAAAAACCCACAAGTGTTAGTGAAGATGTGGAGAATAGGGGTCCCTTGTGCACTCTTGGTGGGAATGCCGACTGGTGCAGCCACTGTGGAAAGCAGTATGAAGGTTCCTCAAAAAATTAAAAATGGAACTGCCTTATGACCCAGTGATTCCTCTTCTGGGAATTTATCTGAAGAAACACAAAATCCTAATTTGAAAGAATATATGTACCCCTATGTTCACTGTAGTGTTATTTATAATAGCCAAGATTTGGAAGCAGCCCAAGCGTCTATGATGAGTGAATAAAAGAGCTGTGGTACATTTACACAACGGAATACTACGCAGCCTTAAAAAAAGAAAATGTTACCCTTTGCATCAGCATGGATGGACCTGGACAACATTATGCTAAGTGAAATAAGCCAGGCAGAGAAAGAAAAGTACCATATGATTTCACTCACATGTGGAATTTGAATAAACTGAACTACCAAGCAAGAGAGAGACAGACTCACAGAGAGAGAGCAGGCAGACAGCAGAGGGGGTGAAGGAGGGGGCNACTCACATGTGGAATTTGAATAAACTGAACTACCAAGCAAGAGAGAGACAGACTCACAGAGAGAGAGCAGGCAGACAGCAGAGGGGGTGAGGGAGGGGGCAGGGATTGAGCAAAAAAGAAAAAAAGAGAGAGAGAACTCATGGACATGGACATGGACAATAGTGTGGTGACTGAGGGGTAGGAGGGGGTGGAGGTGAAAGAAGGCAGGGGATAAATGGTGATTGAAAAAAATTTAATTTTTAAAAAAAGAAAAGGTTTAAGATAACACAATAAAGTTTTTCTTTAAGTTCTGAATGTCTGTTCTGTATTAGGTCTTAGAGGAACATAAAAAAATAAGTTTTAAAACCTGGCTACAAGTAACTTACAGTCTCATATTGAAAAAGAAGCACAAAACATATCATCAGGCTTTCAAAGTGCTGTGGCAGAGAGTGAGACAGGAGGCCAACCCCAGAGGCTGACAGTGAGCCAGCAGGGACCCAGGCGAGGGACGCCTTCATTAGGCTGAAAGGCAAAGCCCAGGAAGAGGGTTTTCAAGATACAGGCAGCAACATAAAATATTCCAGGAAAGAGTAAAGCCATAGGGATTGTTTTGAGAAACACAAGATGTTCAATATTGCTGGAGCATAAAGCAGAGAAAAGGGGAATACTCTCATGGGAGGCAAGAGAGATGCAGCAAACAGCCCAGAAAGAATAGCAAAAGATGTCTACAGAATAAAAGTAGCAGCTGGATCCAGAAGGACGCATTGTACCACGTACCCGGACCTTTACTACGAGCTAGGGATGGGAGGTCTCTAACAGGAAAGTGAAGTGGTCATGGGAGTGGGGATTGATCCCTCTAAGGGTCATACAGCAGAGGGAATGATAGGATGAGGCTACGGGCAGTGAGGTCCATCAGGAGGGTGGTATTAATAAATATTTCAAGCTAAATTCACTAATCTTGCTTCAATAGTTAACACAAGATACAAAGGGTCCCAGATTCATTTTTATAATATGTCTAGATATAAAATGTTATTTACAAACATGATAAGTAAAAAATATCAGATTAACATTAAAGCCAAAAACATATTAAGAAGGCATTTCAAGTGTTAAAATGCTCAACCAGCCTTCAATGAAAATACATTCCATTTTAGATATTGTCAACCAATGTCACATTTTTATATTTCTTCTCTTGATTCAAGGGACAACTTTCTTCAGTTTCTTTTTATTGAAGTAATTTTATTTGGCCTGTTTTCCACCAAAAATTTCCACACAGTACCTCAGAAACAACATACCAGAAGGAATAAAAATAAGACCAATAAGAAAGGCATAAGAAAGAAATATCATATATTTATGCAACGTATAAAGTGAATAAATAGAAGATATTGAATTAAGAAATGAGATTACAAGCTTAATTATGAGATATTTCCCAGAGGCAGTAGAAAAGAAAAATTTAATTAAGAAATGCCCGTTCTAGATCAATCATGGCTACGTTTTCAGAATAAATATATTGTTGTCAAGAATCTAAATCAAACTAATTAATAAGCTGGTATGCAGAGGTTAAAAAGGTACAAAGGAAAAGCTTGATTCAGAGGCTAAAACCAGCATTAAATGAATGTTAAAATATTGTTTAAATTTAGGTATTAGATTAGCCTTAAAGCCTTTCTGAATTAACAAAATTGATTTTAAAACATTTTGCATTACTTTAAAAATTATATGTGATTTTCAAAAGAGATACTCTACAACCACTGGCCTCATTTTAAGATATTTGCTGTACATTTAGACCTGTTCCAGCTGCTGTTAAAAATACATAAACTGAATACAGTTTATCTCACTTTAGAATGAGCTGATTCCTGAATATTAGCCCTAACACAAACCTGTGCCAGAGTATTAGCTTTTCTTTGTATGTCTTTTGGCCCACAGTTTAAGGTCTATAGCAACTTTAATATTATTTTTGTTTTTAACTTAAATGTGTACTACAGAAAATCCTTTATTTAAATTTATTGGTGTGACAATGGTTAATAAGATTATATGGGCTCCAAGTGTACATTTCTATGATACGTGATCTATATATTGCATTGTGTGCCCACCACTCAGTCAAATCCTTTGGAATTATATTATCAACTACAATGTATAACGTAACCTAAAGTTTTCAAATATCATGCTAATTAATGCTTATCTTCCACAATTAAAAAACCCATAGTACCAGGGAAGCTTTCACTACATCAGCAGATAAGCCTCATCAAGTGAATGCCATGCTTCTGGAGAAGGGACATAGTTACTTTCCAAGCTATGTGCAGGAGCAATAAAACATACGTTTATATATTCCGTGGGTTTTCTAAATCAGAAAATACGTAGAAAACAATTTTTCTGTCCTCTTAAGCACCATTGCTTTTCATGTTAATCTGGGAAATGCAAAGCAATGATGTTAAATGAACACACTACAACAGTGAACATACCAGAAATGTGTAAAAGTGCGACATGATGAATGGAAAAACACAAACCATGGATGTTAAGTTAATGTCTTTAGTAAAGAATCCCCTTCCGTAAGGAACCGATCTCACAAGTGAGTGGGACAAGCTGAGGACCTCCCCTGAATGCTGAGTCTCTGGCACCCTGGATTAAGAAGACGGCTCCTACTTCCCAACACTCACGTCTCTGTTCCCACAGTAGTCACTATATTTCACCTCACTGCACGTCAGAGGGACATTCGCTTTCTTTTAAAAAGACCCCACGCTGCTTGGACATTCTGACAAGGTCTCCTACATCCTCACATGTTCATCTGAAGTTCCCCCTATTCCATTTCTAGACCACAGACGGCTCTAAACGTACTAATAATATTCATGTGTTAACTCTGGCAGCAAAGCCAAGAGGAATTTACCAATAGGAGGGCTCCAAGTTTGACAGACTGAAGAAACAGAAACTTGCTGATAGGACACACCATGAAAGCCGTTCCCGTCGCCCACGCTGTTATTTCAGTGGATTACAAACACACACAGCACTCTTAAGAGCAGTGCACAAACCTACACTCCACCAAGACCGGCCCCGCACGGCAGGCAGCCCCCGGCAGCTTCCACACGCTCCGGCCCGTGGCGGCCGGCAGCTGGAGTCTCCGAGCGAAGGCGAGGCCGGGCTGGCTGCTCACTTACCTCCTCGCTTACGCAGGCTTGCCCGTCTAACTTTTTGTTTCCTCCCTTGTCATAGCTCAGCAGCAAACGGTTATGATTCAGGAGAGGTTTGAACCTGATAGTTAAAAAGATCTTTTTTAATTAAAAAAAAAAAATCGGCAATTAACGCTGCCCTGCACGGCAGTCTTGTCTTGCCTTGCCCTCCGTGTGCGCGTCTCGTTTTCTCCCTTTGCAAGGCAAGCTACGTAGTGGTCTATAAATATTGACCCTGACACTTGCTCGGGGCTTTGCTTGCTCATGGCACAGGTCTGTGTTACTGAACACCGTGGTAATGCTCCGGCAAAGTTCTCAGCTGCTCAGACAAAGCTGTGGATTGGCTCGCTCCCCGGCAACCCTGTGCCTGCCTGGAAATACCATTTTGCTGCCAGCTTTACAGATGCTAGGGGCCTTTCCTGAGGCCCGAGTCAGGCACAGAAGGGCAATTATGAGGTCTGTCTGAAGAAATACAGTTTTCCTCAAGCAGGTGGAAAGAAGGGGGGCTGGGCGCAGTGGAAGACAAGAAAGGAAACACTGCCTTTGTGTATCTCAACATAATCTCAGACCCTCTATAAAAGTCAGACCTAGATATCATTCAATCAAACTTTATGAAACTGAATTGCTGCAACTTCTACACGTTATGAATGAGCAAAAGACATAGAAAAGCATTTTTGCAATTGTTGTTAACATCGCTTCTCGTTGAAAAAGGCTGCGGTGACTGAGTAATTGAACACAAAGAAATATTCAACATAAATAAGTTCTTTTCCAGAATGATAGAAATGCACTGGAAAGTATAATATTAATAAAGAACAAATTATGTATTTGGTGAAAAAAGCTAAAACATAATCTAAATTATATGAATCAGCATATTATATTAACTACTACCAGGTTTTCAATCGTGACAATTATAATTATTTTATTTTGTTTTTTTAGATTAAGGATAAACTCTAAGCTATGATGTTTGTAGGTGATATGAACAAGGTCAGCATTACACACACATATCACATACAATACCCATCAGTAGGAATGATTAGAAAATAAATCAAGGCCATAGTTTTTCTTTTTGCCAAGACTAATCATATGTTTCCTTCATTGAAATTTCTTCCTTTGATTAAATTAACTGTAAAGGAACTTTTAGAAATAATCTGGTCACTAACTCATTTCATAGTTGAGAAAATGGACCCAAGGCTGGTTAACTTGCCCACGGTCACATGGCAAGTTTGCAGCAGAGCCAAAGCTAGACTCCTTGTCTTAGTGCTCCTTCTATTACAAGAGTGGTTCTCAAGTTCATTTTTAAGTTTAAAATCCTATCTTCATGTGAGATCTTACTGAAACTTCATCATAAGCCAGAAAAAATAACTAGCATAAAACAAAAATAGCCTTTTACAATTTAATTGACCCCCAGAAAGTTATGCACAAGAATTAACTTTCTAACAACTGAAATCCACCTTGCCCTGTTTCATTCAATAATTAATATTTGCTCAATAAATTAACATATACCCAGGAGAAGTACATAGCCAGGTGTTGAGAAGACAAAGATAATATGTAGGTCCTACTCCCAGAGATCTTACAGTCCAATTTCAGAAGGAAAATAAAGCTAACTACAAAAGCACTGTGTTCCCATGATGATGGAGACTATAGGAGAGTAGTGAGGGAGAACGTGAAACACAAGCATCTGAGTCAATATGAAGGGAAGGTATGGCAGGTAATTCTTCAATGGAGACTTTGCATCTTAAAAAATGACTGGAAGGCAGTGAGGTAAAGAAGAGAAAGAATAAGACAAAAAGACAAACAGGCAGGGAAAAGCATGACACGGAACTTCAAATAGTTCTTGCTGGATCACAGAATGTGAAGCAGAAGATAGTTTAAAAAAATTTTTTTAAAGAATGTGCTTCCCTTACTCAGCCTCCCCCACATGACCCCAAGAATCACTGGCCTTTTTACTGTCTCTATAGTTTTGCCTTGTTCAAAATGTCATATAGTTGGAATCACAAAGGATATAGCCTCTTCAGGCTGATTTCTTTCAGTTAGCAACTGAATGGGTAGTTTTAATCGAGTCAATGTTCAAATTCTCTTCTATATAAACTCTTTATTAATATCAATTTAGCTAACATGATGCCTTATTCAAAAACAATATTTCCCCAACTTTCCAGAAGAAAGGCACACTCTCATCTATCCCAAATATTACTGTGGTACATTGCCCTGGGGTCATAGAAAACGTAACAATTTTAAAATTTCAATTAATGCCTTAAATTTTTGTTGAAGAGAAGTATGATAAGTAAACAGTTAAAGACTTTTAACTATAAAAATATCGCATAAAATTCTATAAGGAAGTGAGATGGAAATACAGGTAAAGAAAATAAAATAGTAATGTAAAATTTTCAGCTTTTAACAGAAGAGTCTATTCATTATTATTTAAATGGATAATGGTTTTATTAAATTGCTGTGCATTTAGATTCCATTGAATATTCTTAAAATAGTTGATATAAGCTTTATTTTAAAATGTCAATATTTCCAATAGGGTAGAAATTAAATTCTTTGCAAGTACATATTTTACCGCAGGTGAAAAACTGTAGATGTTAACTTGGTAATGTGTGAGTGGTTACATAGTTTTTCAACAAAAACAGCTGAAGACTGCTAGCCTACTGTATAAAACCCAAGTTTTTAACCTGGTATATAAAACTTTTCATCACCTCTCTCCTTCTATGGAGATTTCAGGGCAGTGAAACTATTCTGTGTGAGAGTGTAAAGGTAGGTATGTGACATTATGCATTTAGCAAAACCCCAGAACTGTACCACACAAAGAGAGAGCCCAAATGAAAACTAAAGACTATAGTTAAATCTCCCCATTGTCTTTCTGAAGCGTGTGTTCCAAAGAGAGGAGTGTTATTCACTGAGCAATGACCATCTACCAAGGGCTTAAGAAATATTTTCTCTAACACTAAATACAACTCTGACAGATGGGTACACCTTTGCCTTTTTTAAGATGGAGAAAATGAGGCTTAATTAAGTGGCTTTTCTGAAATCACATAACTAATAAACAGTAGATCTGAAATTCAGCCCAAATCTGACTGGACTACAGTATCACATACTGCCTTTATATTAATCATTTAAATAAGATAGAGGTTGCCCAGGCCTAGTGAGGAAGTGGACTCCACAATCAGAAAGGAATGAAAAGAGTCTTCCTGCATCTCTTCAAGGAACTGTGACAATTTTAACACTGAGTATTAAATAGTAGCAAAAAGAAGAGATAAACAAATTATTTGGTGGAAATCAGTAGACAAAATTAAAATAACTGATATGCCCTATTAAGAAGAACTTAAAGAGTTTTATCTTCAGTTTGAATGAAGAGAAAGGAACACATCAAGAGTCAATGGTGTGAAGACTCAATATTGTGAAAATGTCAGTTCTTCCACACTTTATCTGTAGATTCAATGCAATCCCAATCAAAATCCCAGGAAGTTATTTTGTGGAAATAAAAAGACCTATACTAAAGTTTATATAAAGAGGCCAAAAAAACTCAGAATAGCCAATGTAATATTGAAGAACAAAGTTGGAGGCTGACACTACTGAACCATAAGACTTACCACAGTAATCAAGACAGTGGGGTGCTGAAGAAAGAATAGACAAATAGATGAATGGAAGCGAACAGAGAGCCCAGAAATAGACTCACATAAATATAGTCAACTAATCTTTGACAAAGGAGCAAAGACAATATAATGGAGTAAAGATAATCTTTTCAACAAATGGTGCTGAACAACTGGACCATCCATGTGCAAAATCATGAATCAAGACAAAGATCTTAGGCCTCTCACAAAAATTAACTCAAAATGGATCGCAAACCTAAATGTAAAATGCAACACTATAAAGCTCCTAGGTAACCTAGGAGAAAACCTAGATGATCTTGGGTATGGCAATGAATTTTCAGATATAACACCAAAGACACAATCCACAAAAGAAATAATAAACAGAATTTCACTAAAATTAAAAACTTCGACTCTGCAGAAGACAATGTTAAGAGAATGAGAAGACAAGCCACAGACTGGGAGAAAATATTTGCAAGAGACACATCTGTTAAGGACTGCTCTCCAAAATTTACAAAGAACTCCAAAAACTCAACAAGAAAACAAACAAACCAATTTAAAAAATGGGCCAAAGACCTTAACAGACACTTCACCAAAGAAAATATACAGATGGCAAATAAGTAAATGAAAAGATGCTCCACATCACATGCCATCAGGGAAATGCAAGTTAAAATAACAATGAGATATGGCTACACACCTATTGGAATTGCCAAAATCTGGAACACTGACAATACCAAAGGCTGGTGAGGATGCAGAAAAACAAGAACTTTCATTCATTACTAGTGAGAACACAAATTTTTGGTACAGCTACTTTGGAAGATAGTTCAGCAGTTTCTTACAAAATTGAACATATTCTTACCATGTGATCCAACAATCATGCTCCTTGGTATTTACCCAAAGTAGCTGAAAATTTACATCAACGCAAAAACCTACACAGAGATATTTACAACAGCTTTATTCATAATTGCCAAACCTTGGGAGCAACCAAGATCCCCTTCAGTAGGCGCGTAGACAAACTGTGGTACATCCAAACAATGGAACATTATTCAGCACTAAGAAGAAATGAGCTATCAAGGCATGGAGATATGGAGGAATCTTAAATGCATATTAGTAAGTGAAAGAAGCCAATCTGAAAATGCTGCACACTAGATAATTCCAGCTATTGGACATTCTAGAAAAGGCAAAACTGCGGAGATGGTAACAGATCAATATTTGTAGTGGGTGGGGATGAAAGGGATAAATAGGCAAAACACAGAGGATTTTTAGGGCAGTAAAAATACTCCGTATGACACTATAATAATGGGCACCTGTCATTATACATGTCTGAACCCACAGAATGTATACCAGCAAGAGTGAACCCTAAACTATGAACTTATCAATTCTAACAAATGTACCACTCTGGCTGAGAACACTGTTAATAAAGATTATATATGTGTGGGGGCAGAGAATCTATGGGAAATGTCTCTATTTTCCTCTCAATTTTACTGTGAACCTTAAACTGCTCTAAAAAACAAAGGTCTTTAAAAAGTCAAAGGTGGCTTCTCCTTCTGGAAGCTGGCGCTTTGCCAAGGCAGAGGTTATACAGAAAGAGGGAACAACTTTGTAACAGGGAGCTAGGA